CCTGGGGGCCATGGCCCCTTCCTGTTCCCCTCCGTCGGTCCACCACTGATTACTTGTGTTATCTTTCAATCCTTGTAGCTATGGCACTGCACTGGGTGCCAAACAAATGAAAAACGTTTGATGTTATTATTGTGCTGAATGCTTTAGAATAAATTAACAATGTCAAAAATGGGAGTAAGAAAATGTTCCAGTTCATCAGGATCCTTCTGTACACAAAATCACACTCCTCAAATTCTAAAGAATCCAACAATGTCTAACAGTATTTCATCATCATCCATGTATGTTAGCTTCTCCCCTTCACACAATCAGACTCGTATACAAGTTTGTATGATATTCAAAACATTCTTTTTGGGTACAGAGGTGTTATTTTTCCATTCTGTTATAATTCGGAAAGCAGAAGTTATGTACAGTGGGAAACAAAGGAGTTTAGAATTACTGCATTCTTTGCTTGGTAAACTCTGGCCACTTTCAAGGGTTAATGTCTTCTGTATTTTCAATTATTTATAAATACAATCACAATAAAAATTGCATTAGGCACAGAGCTGCTTCTACACTTTACTAAGATATAATTCAGGGAAGATGCACTCTTGAAAAAGAATGATTTACCTCAAGAGGCTATGTCTTCCTCCTGGATTAATCTCTCTGAAGCTGTCTTCGGTTTTATGAGGATGGTAACTACCTGATTTCACAGACTAAGACTGATAGTGAAACCTGTAGAAGGAAGCACTTATATTGCCTCAATCAAAAGTACAAAATTCTCTGTTCATTCTTCCTGAGGAAAATATTTGTAAAGCAGAACACTTACAGAATTGCCGATGTGCAGGCTGCAAACGCTGGGTCAAGCCTATCTTTTTCATTAATGTGAATACCAAGTACCTTAGCAGCATAGTAGGTAATCATAAATCTTTAAGCCAGGGCATCAGATGCTTTTAGCTGGGATAGTGCTTGAGGCTTTGACAGAACAATGCTGCTAAAAATCTGGCTTCTTGGGTCAAAAGGTTAAAGAAGAGAAAAAAACAAGGCTTGTAACTTGGCAGTAGATGTAGACACCACAATAAAGAAATCTTGGGTCTGCACCACAAGCAAATACTGAAGCAGAGGCAGCCATTTGCTGGCTTGTTCTTGCTGAAGGGAGGGTATCATTGCACCTTAGAAACTAACTAAATTAGAAATGCATAGTGTAAATGTAAAAAAGCCTGCTGCTTACAAAAGCTTATGCTACGCATCTCTGATTCAGTTTATAGGGTGAAAATCTGTTCTGGCTTATACCTGACTTCAGACTAATAGGGGTGACTACCTCTATTTGCTCCTTCATCAGCTTCTGCCAGGTAACTTGGGATGATGTCTGTAGAGAGGCTGTTCAGCTGCCATTCAAAGAAAGAGTGTGTACCCTCATGGCTAGGGACAGACATTCAAAAAGCTTGAGCCTAGATTGATTCACTCTTTGCAGGTTAGTCTAAGATGTGCAGCATAAACTGATTAATAACTGGACAGACACTCTCTGTTAAATCAGGAAATGCATGCACATGCCTGCAGTGGATCAGGCCAGAAGCCTGGGGGGTGGGCACTAGAACATGCCTGCCAGTCACTGCCAAAGGGAAGGGAAGAGAGACGCCCTCCAAGGCTCTCACCCCTTCATGTTGGAGTGGAGGAGGTATGGCAAGGCACCAGTTGGGGCTAGCGGGACACACAGGATGCCAGCAGCTAGCCGCCAGCCACCAACCTGGGGGG